CATGTTTAACAAAGTAAAAAAATATTAAATAACCTCCTAAAATAATTTCTGAATACGCCTAAGGGGAATAACTCACAAACGTCAACCTTATACCCAATACATTTTACTATATGCGCTTTTTGAAATTTCCTGATTTTAATAATTACATTTTTAATATATATTTGTTACACTGATTCTGATGTAATATTTTTTCTGCAAAACACTTATCGTGCCCGGCTTTACCGGGTACTCCTACCGGAATCAGTGGCCTACTTATGATGACGGTCTAAAGAGCCCCCCCCAGCTAGGCGAAGCCTAGTATTAGATATTACTTTATACTTTTGTTCTTATTATTGAATATATATGACCACTAACATGTTGCACTAATGTTTTCCTGTTTAATTACAGAATACGGACAACCATTGTAAAGTCATAGATAAATTTTTCAAAACAATTTAAAATAGAAAAACAATTATTTCAGTGTTCAGAAGAATACACATAAGGCTTGATTAAGACATAAACATTTATTTTCGTTTATATAAATGTAGTTTGATACCAAATTACAATATTCATTTGTCGTGTAAAGTCAAAGAAATCCTTATTACGATTTTTATTATTTGTTTTATATAGATACACAATTTTTAAACAAGTAAAAATAATGTTGAATTTATTTTAAATAATCTTTTAAGAGGAACACCAAAATAAATTGTAAAAATAACTAATATAGGGTATACAATTAGTGGATAAAATAAATTAAATAATGATTATTTTGAATGAAATTTTATATAATACATTCGACAATAAGCTTACTGTAAAAATTATTTGTTTGACGCGAAGAAAAAGTGTTTAGAAACAACTTAATAATCCACAGCTATTTTAACCAACATCATAATTAAACAAAATTAAGAAGTTTTACTTAACATTTAAAACATTAAGTTAAAACATGAAAAAATTAGTATTTTCTTTAAAAATAACAGGTATTTATCACTTTTTTCGGAAGAAGCAAACTGTTGTTGTTTGGACTGAATAGGGTTGGATAAATGTAGTATTGATTAAATTTAACTATATGTCATTATTTTTTTTTGTCTTATATAAAAGAAAAAACGCTTAATTTTTATTTCTTAAGAAACTTACAGAGCTGATAACTATAATTTTTTTAAAGGAATCATTGCTTTAAAATAACATCTATGTGAATATCTAAAATAGACTTTTGTGTCTATAAATGGGTGTGGTGATTACATGACGTCTTTTGAAGAACTCAATGCGTGCGCAGCTTTATGTATACAGTGAATTTCTTCAAACACATTTAAACTACTGTTTTGATTTGGTGCAAAAATATACAATTTTTAAGAAAATAAGATGCAACATTATTTGTTTTCTTAATTTAGAAATAATTGAATTCTCCAACTATTAAAGTAAAGTTTTATTTTGTGCAAATTAGATAATTTATTTAGGCAATATTTTTTAATAAAAACAATGTTTAAGAAGTGTTGATCATTTTCGATGAATCGTTTTAAGCTTTTCCATTGCCGTAACTTATATTTTTTTTCGATAAATATTTATTTAAAAAATTTTGTTTCTAAAAAAACTAGAAAATAAGCATATAATTTTTTCGTTTTATTTAAATAAAAAAAAAATGGTAATATATAATATAATATAACTGTATATTTAATATAAACATATCTTTTACCGAGGTATATCTTCCACTAATATACTTTCCATATTGATACAATTAAATTTATCAAACTTTTAATAAATAAAATTATTGATATTAATTGAAATGTGTCTCAGAAATATTTTAAATTATTGTTACAAACATGACTAAATTTGACGGCAGATTTTTAAAAGCAATTACGTGAGACCCCCTTTTTAGAGGATCAACTGGATTCTAGTATAAAAAAAAAAATTATCTTTGTTACTTTCGCTAGAAAATTTATGATAATAATTATAAAAGAAAAGAGAGAAAAGAGTTACAGTCATAGTAACAACTAGAATAAAATTTTTGAAAATATTAAATAATTTCTCTTAAATTACCTTAAAAAATAGTTTGTATCCTCTTGGCTTTCCTATTTGCGCTATTTTACAGATTATAGAGGATTGGACTTTAATGTTTTTGGGGTCCGTTATTTTATTTGGCATGCAAAGATCTCTAAAACATTATTCCTAAATCTCCAAAAATCTAATTTCAGCTCTGACTTTGAATAATATGTACTACTGTACATTTATAAATTGAAAATTAGCATAAGGTCAAGTAAGGTCTTAACTATTTTCCTAGTTCTGTCTATATGAAATAAGAAACATTACAGATTTTAATATAGTAGTGGATTCTAAAATCACGAATTACTTTTAATTATGCACAGTTTTATAGAAAATTACAATATATATTATGCTATTCTGTACCTACCGAATAATTTTTTTTCTTGAATTTGGAAGCTATTATTTTTGACACAAAATGTATGATATTGATGATTTATTGCGATACATAGATTCTATCATAAATTATGTTCAAACTTTCATAGTGAATAACAGGCTATTTTTACAATGAAAAAAGAATGTAAGGATTTTCATACTAATGACATTATCTGTACGTGTTTTCACGAAACAGACAAAAGATGAAGATTACTTATATTTATTGAACAACTGTTTGAACATTAACATTATAATCAACGCATGTTTCAACTTTTAAACATTTTATATCAAATTTAAAAATATATATATTAGAGAAGAAAATTTATTTTTAATGATGTGATCATTATCAATGTTTTGAAGGACAAAATGGTAAAAAAAAAAAATTTTCATTATTTTAATAATAGACATATTATTACAAAACATATTTTTATGTTTTAGATTCTAAAACAATATATGTTTCTAAAATTTAGAAACTATTTTTTATTTTATCATATTGTATTTCGTACAATTCTAAAATGATTTGATTTTTAAAGTACGTAATATTTTTTAGTTCCGTTTATCATACTTTAAATATATAAATAAATCTAACTTAAGACAAGAATGAGAATCCGTAGATGAAATTCTTGTTACAAAATCTACCTAGTGTAAATGTATATAATGTACCAAAATATAATGTTAATGGGACTACTTTATTAGATGAAAAAAAACTAAATGTATTTTTAAATATAATATAATATAATATTGAAATAACACATAATAAAAAACAAATACATTTTGATAAAATTTCATTATAATTATTATAAACAGAGAATTAAAAAATATGGACTGAAATTTGTTTTTTAGTTAGATTAAAATTTTAAACTTTTAATAACAGATAAAAAAAATTTTAAGTTAAGAAAACTATTTTAGTAATTTATAAATCTCTGTTAGACGGATTTTATTGGTGGTAAATTAATGTGAATATTGAAAAATGTTTAAAAATGCAACCCACAGTACTTAGCGTAAATCCCTAAGTCGGTGCTTTTTAAATGACAGTAAAACTGTCAAAGGATTATTTAAACTTTTTATGTATACTTTAGTATTAAATAATTTATTATTTTTCAAACGTAATACTAACGTACATAGTTAAAAAATGTTAAAATAAAAAAGAGACCATGTGGATGACAATTAATAACGTGCTTAATATTAACTTTTATTAAATAACATTAAAAACTTGAGTAATATCTATAAAGAATTATAGGATCTTTTAAAAAAGAGATATTTTAACATCATATATTTCAAGATTAAAATTTTGACCTAGATTATTCTAAATTTCTAAACATAATATATTAAAATATTATTATAATCTCACTTACAGAAAATTATAAATTTATAAATTCAATTAGAAAGTACCAAAACAATACTAAGTATTTAGAGATAAGATCATAATGAGTATTAAATAAAAATAACAAAATTAGGCAAGGGCCTTAGATATATAAATATTAGATATATACGGAAGCTATTCGGTATCCGGCGTATTCCAGCAATATTGCGGTAGTAATTTACACGAGGCTATTAGACGTTACATTTAACTAGTCCATTCTTTATAATATTGTAATAGTTTCTTTACTTAAATAAAATTATTACATTAATATCAACTTTTAAATTATCTGATGTAAAATAAAACAAAATTTTAATTTGTTTTTTATTCAAAATAATATATAAAAAATAATATAAAATTACTAAAAATTATTAAAAATGGTATTGTAACAACCCCCCGGTAAACCAAGGCTAATAACTGTTTTAAAAAATAACACCTTACTGTAAATATGTAAAATCAAATATTTCGTATCGAAGTTTATCAAGTAAAATTTTAATGGCTTCTCGTGGAAAATGGCGTTTTAAAGTACTAAGAACAAACCTTTTCGTTAAACTTTTTTTTGGAATTTTTTTAAAACAAAAAAAAAACATTGTTTTTATACAGATAATAAAAATATTTCAAAGTACTAAAAATTTTCTTTTTATTACAATAATGAACAAATGAAATAGAATTAATTGTAATTTAAATTATAAGTACTCTGTCTGGTCAAATCAGTATATTAGATCATAAATTCTACTAAATTGAACATTATATAAGTCTAATCTATACAGGGTGTTCAGTAAGTCAGGAAACGGGTTTCTATTGTTCTCATTGTTACAAACAATGAGAACAATAGAAACCCGTTTCCTGACTTATTGAACACCCTGTATAATAACATAAAAATTGTAAACAATTTTATCGTGTCATACACATTATAAACAGTAACACTAATCCAACCAAGATTAATAAAGGATTTTGGCAGTTAATAGGTTACTTATATTATACGTGTATATTAAATATATATATTATAATATAACATATATTATAATAGATATTATTATTGTTACTATGAAATAATGTTACTATTGTTACTAAAATTTTAATTAACAAATTAAATGAAACGCCATGTGTTATGCTATATATATGTATAGCATATTGTTAAAAAATAAATAAAAAAATATATATCAATTACACAAACTAAATAAAAAGCAATAAAAAATAAGCATAGTAACATATAAGACGTTGGGTAATAAATAATATGCAAGATATTATGTAAAAAACGTAGAAAATTAAGAAATGTAGATAGTTGACATAATTGTTATAAATTACTACAAAACGATTAATAAAGAAATAATAGTAGCGTCAATGATCACTTCTTGTATTTAAAAATAGTATCAAAATTAATATCAAAACCCAAATAAAAAGCAGTCTTGTCCTCGCATACTCACTCAGCTGTTCACAGTTCACACTTAGTATTGAAATCATCTCTCAAGTGTCAATAGTGAAAACTAACCGCAAGAAGTGATCGGCCGCGTCTATATTGTGAATTTCATATCAGAATATTCACTGGAAACATCAAGGTAGATAATTAATAATTTTACCAAAAATCTATGAGATTTAGAATTAAGTTTTATGATTATAAAGTTTAAGTAGGGTTTAGGAAAAATCAAGTGATTTAATAATAAAAAAATATACTAAGTAAATTTAATAAATCAATAATGTTTGTACAGAGTTGGTTGGCACAATTAGATCATTGATACATGTCTATTTCAGGAGTTAAATAGGAGGTTCATATACAAATACCATACTACTTTGGGTAGACACATAAGGTGGCTCAATCTCACCTATTATTGGTAACCGTCAATACTCGTTGCATTATTGATATTAAAGAGTGTGAGAATTGTTCACAATAAATTTTATATTAATAAATAAAGATCACTATACTTTTCTATCAAATTACGTGATTTACAAATCTACGTACTCATACCCCGAGAAATATTACTATTAAAAGCAACAAATAGTAACTCTCACCTTTCTCAAAACACTCTTTCCACATTTTTTTAATTCTTTCTTTTTTAATTACTATATATATATAGTATGTATAATGAACACAATGTAATTGGAAGTATTAATTTAGACATTTACGTCTGCTTGGTGGATTTGAACGATAATAAAATTAAACAGAAGAACGGAAACACCTCAACAACCGTCAATTCTAAGTCATATTGAAAAAATTAAGCAAATCAGTAGAGAACAAATATTGCATACATTAATTTAAAATTAAATATTTTAAATATTAATTTAAAACAAAAAAAATGTAAAAAATATTTAACTCAAAATTCACAAACATTACTAAAAAATATGTTTAGTTTTCAATAATATTATATTAATCACAAGTGATCAATTCGTATATTATATGTATTAATGCTAATTATTTTTTACTTTTGAGGAACATGGTTCAATACGATTTTTTTATCCATCTTGATAAAATTTTATCTCAAAAACTTGTTGTGTTTTTAGTTTTTAAGAATGCGTAACTTGTAATATTTTAATTTAATTCTATTTATTTTGCACAGAAGCATATTGAGCATATTTATTTTCTCAGGTATTTTATTTCAATGTTACAATGAAATGAAATCCAACCAAATTTATATAATATGATAGCACAAAACATTTCAATTTACATGCTATTCGTAAAAAATATATTGAATTCATTAAATATAAGAATAAATATACAAATTATCGGTAAACAATAATAAGTGAGCTGTACATTTTCAGGTAAGCAATAAGTATTCAAGAAGCAAAGCAACATTATTTTATGTGCACTAAAACTTTTTAAAACAAATTAAATTTTTTCAATAATTACATATCTTTATTTACACAAAACTCCCAGCTAAAATGTAAATTATGGATTCATTAAAAAAAAGATAGCATCGCTGCCAATAGAATTTATATAAAATAATATAAAACAGTAGTATACATTTTAGTGAAAATTAATTTTTTTAAAAACATTAAACATTTTTTGTGTGTTTATTTATTTCAATTTATATTAAACATAAAAATGGAAAAACTTAACTTCAATTGTGCGTACCATACATAAAAGAAACTTGTTTTTACACTATTTAAGTAGATATGATTAATAAAATTTGTAATATAATAAAGAATCTAAAAAAATTCTTGTCGCTAATATATATGGCATATAGTGGACATGCTGGATATCTATCAACAAGCCTAATTAAGTAGTAAGATCGGAGCTATTCTCTACAGTGATATCAAAAGTTATTTTATTTCTTTAATGTTTTAAATAAAAATGCGAGTCTCATCCTTGTTTGTATTAATGCATAGATACATACAGAAACTTAAACGTAAACTATTGTAAAATCACTCAAATTTAACTTTCTTTACAATGGTAACAAAATATATATATTTTGGTTTTCATATTATATTATTTGAAATAAAATACTACCTGGTATGTCCTTTTTTTGTTTATAGGATTCCCATTTACACTGTGCTTGCTTAAATTAACACACAAAATAATAATTATGATAATATTATTAGGAAACATTTAGTTTCTAAAAATAGATAATTTCGCTAAATATTGTTTTAATTATTACCTCGGTGCACCGTGAGCCAAAAATGCGCATATTCGCGTATTGTCTAAAACAATTACCGGGTCAGACTTAACGCGATCGTTTATCGCGATTAACTGTCACGTTAAAATTATTGACACAACATAGCTTATATTAATACGATTTTTCTAATACAAGTGCAACTGGTTTTTCCTCCCCATTAAACGTGTAACGGAGTCTAGTACATTAAGAAATATGTATAGAAGTTATCACACACGTGCGAGGTTTTTCTCTTTAGCAATGATAAATTATATTTTAAAGGAGCCAAGCCAATCATTCAGATAATTCAATCTAATTATAACATTAAACTGGAGATCGATTATTGTTTGTGAACATTTGGACAATATTACTACTAATCATAGACAAAATATCTGTGGTTATTGGAGTTGCCATAATACTATAATAAAAACTATTCAGTTGAATTGGTTGAAGAATAATCGTTATCGCCAGGTAATCATTAAACATAAATATTGTAATATATGTCTTTACTTAGTTGGTAATTGTTCAATTTCGTTAATAGTATTAACTTATATTTGAATTAGTAACAGAAAACATACAATATATACAATGTAATTTTATCATTTACAATAATAGGTTGGGTGGGTTCTAACAAAAAAAGGAATATTGTATCGATAAAAAGTATTTAATATTCAAAATACTTTTAAATTTAATCACCTCTGATACCGATTGTTGACTTATCCTTAGAAATAAATTTGATCAATGTGCACAGTTTTTCTACTTTCGTATTGTTTAAAAGAAATATGTAACTGATTTACTAAAAGTCTAAGTTACGATATAACATACTAACGTGCGTTATTAAGTCTTACCTATACAGAAGTTTTTTGGTGAATCATTATTGGTTTGTATTTTAGTATAAAATTTTAGCACTTGTATCAATTCAGTTCTGTTTCGTACACCTAATGATATTTAATTAAATTTCTTTTAACCTTTTTACTTTGTGAACAGTAGTTTGGCAGCTGCCCGTTAGTAATAGAAACTTTTTAGTAAACATTAATTATTAACTACTGTTTTTTTTCTCTATTATCAATTAATGTTTAGAACTGCTTTTAATTTCTCCGATTTAAGCACAAAAAATAATAGCAAAAAATTAAAGAAAAACTGTATTCTTTATTTAATTAAATTTATACCAAGAATTAAAAAATGATAAGTAATTAATTTAGCTTGATCTTAGTAAATTTATTTTTTTTAATTCAATATTTATAAGTACCGATATTTAAGTATCGTTACCAGACTCGAATTCAGGATTTTTTAAACCTGTCTTCACAAACTATGAGACAATTAATTGTATGAGGTTCGGTCAGTTAATTGAATATTTTATTTTATTCCCTTTATGAACTTTTAAATATGCTTTTGTTTGATCTAGATAGGATAGGATAGGCCCATAAAAGATTCTAAATTTTATTTTAATAACAAATTATAGTAAAAAAATTATTTTAATAAAAATACCGTTCCAAACGGTATCTTGGGACTTTTACGCTCCCCTACTTGTTAAATTTTAAACAAGTCTGTAATTATTCAGAATAAGATATTCCTACTAAAAATTATTGTTAAAAAACAGTTGCAAATTATTCAATTGGCAAAATTAAGTTGTTCATTGCACATATTTTTATCTCCTGGACATTTTTCATTCTGTTAAAAAGGATTTACAAATTGAGTGGGGTATACAAACGATGGCGATGAATATGTCTTTTAATGATTTATATTAAAGATTTTTTACTAACTATATATTATAAGAAATAAACGATATTTTAACACACTCGTTAATTTTACACACAAGTATTATAATTTTGACTTAAAGTATCGAATATTCATACACAAATATAATAATTATATTTGATATTTGATAACAAAATTATGTTGTTATTACTATTTATCGTAATTTATCTTACATTGTGTGCGTCAGAGATTTTCAATGTCTATGTGTAATTATTGAGATATTTTTTTCTAGAGTGTGTTTACTATCTGATAACTTTTGCTTTTTACATAGTATAAAATGACTATTAAAATGTAGCATTATAAACTCACAATAGGTATTACTTCCATCCCCTCTAACTACTTACTACTTAATGATTGTACAAATTGATATTTAAAATATCAATTGATATTCAAAACATAACATTATTTTTTACTTTGTATCATTATAATTTAATTTGATTAAAAGAAAAAGTTCATCTTAATGTATGAATAATAATTTCAAATACTAGAAAATTGATGAGATATAGTTAAAAGGAAGAGACAAAATACAATATTCAGTGAGTAAGGAAACAGGTCAATTGTTATAAATAACGTGAATAATAGAAACCCGTTTCTTACTTATTGAACATTATTTATTATTATTTGATAGTTATGTCAGGACTTCGTCATTATTTATAAGACGTTCCCTCGTAAAAATAAGCATATTTCCTTTAAACAAAAAAAAAATATAAATATCTTTTCCGTTTAATTAAAAATACATATTTATTTTGTTAGTTACTATCCCCAAGTAGTTTATTAAAAGATCTATTAATTTATAGTCAATTTAATTTGGTCCATTATACACTTTGTATTATATTGCAAATGTAGATAGGTAAGACTGGTAAATGCTAATTATACATCAATGTAACGAGTTCGAATTGAATTATTGATGCTAAAATATATTTGTCAAATATATTAACATCCGTTTGTTAGTACAATGAAGGAAATGCAAATGAATGTGTCGTTTTTGGGAAACACAGTATTATAATTTCATGAAGTACCTATTTACATGTATATTACACTATTGTATTGTTATTAATATTGCATGTTCTCTTTCTTAAATGGCGTGTATAGAAATTATAATTTTAAAATAAAACCTGTAAAATTAATTCAATTTACTATATAACTTATAATTTGTAAAAACTTAAAAATTAAAATAATAGTATTTATTACTAAGTATTCACTTAAAAGATAAATGGTTGTAGATCAAATGGTGGATATCATACTATAATGTTGTTATAGTATTCCACAATTCCAGTTCTGAGATGAACAAATATTTGAAAATTATTATTACTGGCTTTATTACATTATTGGAAATAATTATTTATTTTATTGCTATTTAAATTGATATTTGAATCTCAACAAAAATATATACAATTTTGTACTATTTCTATAAACAAATATCATAACAAAAGTTCAAATGCATTATTTAGTAATTTAAGAGTAAAAATAGTATATTTTATTTAATATATGATTTCTAATACATTTTTTAAGCAAAGTTTTTTCTAAAATAATTTTTTTTATGGAGTTAGAATTTCTTTTTTAAAGTTTAGTTTACGGGGAACGAGGGAAATTTTTTCAATTTTGAAGGGTAATGTCTTCGACTAGATAAGATTTGTGATCTTTTGACGTATCGTTGAAAGAAATCCGTTCGGTGAGAGCTGAGAAAAAGTGGTAACAGACACAAAAAAAAAAAAAAACAAAAAAAATAAACACATAGTAAAACCAATACCTTCTCAGCTTCGCATCGAAGCTAAAATAGAAATTGACCATATACAAACATATGCAAGGAATTGAAGCCATTTAAATTATCTTAATAATTCTACCTGTAAATTTTGCTTCTATTATTACAGTCTTCAATTATTTTTGTCTTCGATTTATATTTTAAGTTGGACAAATATTATAAAATTATGATTTGTTAGTTCAATGTCTCGTACAAATTAATTATAGAGTTAGTATTCATTTCATATTAACTGTGAAATCAGTTTTTAACCCTCAATTGATGTCTATATTTTTTCATTAATTGATAAGGTTAAGAACTGCTATCAACTCCATTATTCGTTATATTTATTCTACTATGGATATTAATATTTTTGTTATCGAACTGATAACATAAATTTTATCTTTAACGTCTTATAATTAGTAAAATGTGGTCGAGTCTTATTGGACTCGACGAAGTGGACTTATATATTTTTTGTTAATGTCAAAAATTGGAAAAATAATTTTTTTGCATTATGGATTTAAATATTTATTTGTTAAATGTTTTTTCATTAAATAGTCATAATATTGATAGAATCTTAATTTTTTTATTCTTTTATTTATATTATATATTTAGTTTTTATTTAAACAACTTTTCGCATCACTTATGTGAAATTGATTTCTAGATAAATATATACTTTATTGTAACTTATATCCAAAAACTAGTATCAAAGGTAGCATTCTCACTAAAAAAAAAAGTTTTTTTCGGTCCTTTTGCAAAAATAACCACTTAAGACATCGAAATGTAAGGAATTCACATGTTATATTGGTAAAATTTTTAATTTTATAAAGATTTTACTCAAAAAACTATTATTTTTTGCAAGCAAATAATACATTTTTAAACAAATTAAGTCTAAATAGAAAAGAAATTAATTTTTAGATTCCAAGTACAAAAATTCAACTAGATAATATACCAAAGAAACTTAGAAAAAATGTATAAATAATAAAGATGGTTTTAACATTTTTTTTTTATTAAATAAAACAAAACAAACTTTTTTTTAGCTTCGATGCGAAGCTCAGAAGGTCTTAGTTTTACTAAGATTTGTTTTCTTTTTGTGTCTGTTGCCACTTTTTTTTAGCTCTCACTGGACCGATTTCTTTCAAAAATACGTCAAAAGATCACAAATCGTATCTTGTTGGAGACATTACCCTTAAAAATTGAAAAAAATTCTCTCGTTCCCCGAAAATGGGGGAAATATCTAAAAAAATTACAAATTTAAAAATCGGTAAATTTTGTCATTTTTTTCACTTTTTTTTCTTAAAACTTCCATAACTTTTTGAAAAATCAACAAATTAACATAATTTTTTTTTATACTAAAACTTTAGATATTTACCTTTCATTTGATATCATTTTTTTGAAAATCTAACACTTAACCTGCTCATGGGGGGAATTTAAAATAGCAACTTTTTTACAAAAATTAAATTTTTCAACTTAATTTTTGAAAATGTTCCGGAAATACTGCGTCCTTTAAACATATATCAAATTAAAGCTTATTTTATGTACTACAAAATGAAAAAAAAAAATTTGTCCCGACACTTTTTTTTCTACATTTAAACGGCTGCCGTAGTTAAAAAAACACTATTTTTGTGTTAAAATTTTCGATTTTCGATTTTAAATTTTCAACTTAAAAATGCTATAACTTTTTGAAAAATGTATATATCAGCACAAATTTTTTTTTTCTAAATACATTATAAGTACATCTTTCATTTGACATACTTTTTATTAAAATTGGACAATTTCCCCTTATATAGGGGGCGTTCAAAACTTAAAATATTGTAAAAAACATAGATCTTTTTCAACTGAACTTTTGAAAATGTTCCGGAAATACTGCGTCCTTTAAACATATATCAAATTAAAGCTTATTTTATATACTATAAAATGAAAAAAAAAAATTTTTTCCCGACACTTTATCTTCTACATTTAACGGCTGCCGTAG